CCACTAAAGTTGAGAACATAAATTCACATGACCCATCTGAAACTCATCATCCAGATTTGAGGTCAATTGTGTCTAGGTACTGACAAATTTGTTGTTATTAATTTTCTGCTATACAGTATTGTAGTGTTCAGATTCATTGAAAACGTTGCTATGAAAAAGCATTCTCAATAACTTGTTACAATATGAAACTTTTAGTATAGTTACCATATTTTCAAAATGTCTCAATTTATCCTCTCTTGATAGTTGACTATTTCACTAACATTCAGTGAGATGAACTAAAACACATGACCCATTAGAAATCTTTACATAATTWTATGAAGCCCCTAAAATTTAGYTGCACAAAAAAGCATAACCCCGACCCCATTTGCACCAGCCCATCCCGCTAACAAATGACTGGTCCCTTAATTYCTTCAAACTCGGCCAAACCATAAACCAATTCATCARAAGGACACAAGGTAAGTTTGGAATGATTTTATTAGRATTTAAGATAGGAATTAGGTATTCAATTATATTATATACCATATATCTTTAAGTAAATCAACACAAATATTGAGCCACTTTGGGCTTACCAAAAATGTAAATAATAGCACAGGTTTCCCAAGCTCTGGCTAGTTTTTTTGAATAGAGTAAATGACACATAAGCATGAAATAATTAATTCCAAACTAATTAGTGCCTAATAAGATTTMGTTATATAAACTAACTTTAAGAAATCAATGAGCATAAAACAAAGGCATCTTTTGTTTCTGATATTGTGTTTATGCCTAGTCAGTGAATTCTTAGTTAGTTGAGCACGCCACCCCCTTTTTTGGAGGACGTAATTCTTTTTATATATCAATATTATAAATATTTTTTTCTGCTKTTTATATTCCTGTCGTACTTTTATCGAGAAAATGAGTAGCYAMACAACACGTGTCTGCCACTATACTKCTTAACAATCTAGTATTTGAGTAGTGTAGTCAAAGATGAGTTGCAAYAAAAAATCAATTTGCTTCCCGRTCAAATTGTGCATAATTTTCTTGCTCTAGACAATACACAGCTAACAAATATGCTAACAATATAGTTTTTAGCTATATATTACTGACTAAAGCACCCCTCCCCCCTTCCCCCCTCTTATAAAATGGTGAATCCGCCCCTGAGTTAATATCAGTTAGCATGATTATCGTATCCTGTAAAGTCTTCTGAATATATTACATCAAAAGGAATGATACATGTAATATAACAAGGGATTAAGACATGTTTTTTTAAAAACACTTGGGTTTATAAAGCTTACCTCGATCCTCAAGACCTTAAACGTTTTTTGGATTCCTGAGTTTGTAGGMTCTTTTACAGCCTTCTCGCCATCATTATACTAGCAGTTCACCTGGCAACTCAAACTCGTTTACGGTTTTGYAAAAGACAAACAGGCGTGAAAAGACATAAAAGGCTCTAGTAAACACAATACTACAGATCAATGATAGGCCAATCTCGAGCCCAGAGTCTTCACGGCTAACGTCAGCGGTATGCTCTCATGCATTGACATACGCTGGATGGCAAAAGTGTGGGCTCTGGGTACATAGACCAAACCGCAGACCAATTAAACTCCTTCCCGGTCACAGGAAAAAATCTAGAGATTCCAATACGGTATATCATTGGTAAATCATGCATATGACATACCAATGTTGGATAATCATTGGTTTATCCAGATTTACTTTGGAATATTAATTTTATTATTGGTAAATCATTGGGTAACTTAACAAGTGCTACCAATATTGGAAGTTCATTGGTTGATCATTGGTACATCACTTACCATGAGGTCGTGTTGATTTACCAATGTTGGAAGTTCATTGGTTGATCATTGGTACATCACTTACCATGGGGTCGTGTTGATTTACCAATATTTGGAAGTTCATTGGTTGATCATTGGTACATCACTTACCATGAGGTCGTGTTGATTTACCAATGTTGGAAGTTCATTGGTTGATCATTGGTAAAATAAAATACAAAAGTGCATGCCTATGGGATTCCTTTTTTGCATGACTGGCCTGGTGACACAGCAATTCCAAGGAAAACAAAATAATGAAGACGTAGTTGTATTTTAAAGCCATTATATCTAACAGACAGTAGAAAAAGATGGGGAAAAGAGTATGTTTGTTTTTAAAGACGTTAAAGGAACAATATTGTAGCAATCATTTAATGCAAGGACAATGGACATGGGGATCACCATACTTGGAAATATTTTTAGCCTCCTTTGAATTCTCGCAATAGCAAACTGATGATTCATGATATTACCTTTAAAAAACTATMATTTAAGTCATGCACGTGTTCGAGATAAGGAATGATTGGGCTTCCTGTACTTATCTGAGCCCACAGTTTTTCCACCATACAGAGCATGCGCAAAAAGCCTACTCATTTTCGCGCCTTTTGAAAAGCTGGGGTTCGTTGCATTGTATAGCTTTAATTCCTATATTTTATATCAATTCGCGTTTATTTTCAACATCTTATTGAGATTCAGCTTTTTCTTCAAAGTTTTTGCAAGTGTAAGCAAATATTAGACTATTATTGACGAAAAAAGTTAGACATACGGTCGAGTACTGAGAAAGAGAATGGTAAGCTTGAGCTTGATGTTTTAAATGTGGTTATAAAGTGCTTAMTTCAAGCACTTTTCTTCATCTCACAAGTACCATTCTTTAGTCACAATGGTTYCTATATTTTCGTGCTTTATTTTTAAATGTTGAGGGGAGTTTCAGTGCCCAAAATTCCGCCATAACTGAAGATCGAGGTAATACTCCAGTCATAATGCAATGGGCAAATTTTATTGTTAACTTTCTTATTCAGGGTTATTCAAAGCTTGTTTAAAGCTTTAATACAGTTGTGTTTTTCAGCTTTTTATGAAACATGTCAAAGCCAATGAAGATATGGAATTGTTCTAGAACAAACAGGAAAACTGTAGTAGCCAGCAGTCTTGAGGAGTTGATAGAAAAAGGTGGATGTTACGACATTTGATATTTGATGTTACGACAAGTTAGGGGCAGTCAAAAGCCAGGGCGTCATTGTCCACTTTTTAGCCTCCGCTCCCCTCCCCTCCCCAAGATTGTTTCCTCTCAGAAGTTGCGTTGTCGATGATAACTTGTTGAAAGCGACGAGACAAGTATGATCTAAACCACTCTAACGCCGTCCCGAACTTATTCTCAAGGCAGTTCAGCAACACTGAGTGATCAATAGTGTCGAACGCTGCGCTCAAGTCCAGGAATACCAGAAGTGTAACTTGTTGTTTGTTCATGTTAAGTAATATGTCATTGCGCACTCGTAGTAATGCTGTTTCAGTACTGTGAAGAGGTCGATAGGCTGATTGCAAAGCAGGGAGGAGACCATTCGCCATTACATGAGAAAGGGACTGCTGCGCAACTGCTCTTTCCGTGAGCTTAGATAGAAACTGTAAGTTGCTAACAGGGCGAAAGTTCTTTTTAATCGGCTCCAGCATAGGTTTTTAATCCTTGGTTTAACAAGCGCACCCTTCCAGTCATCTGGGAAATCGCCTGACTGAAGAGAAAGGTTGATAATGGATGAGATGGTAGGTGATAGTTCATCTAAGCACTGCTTAACAATACTGGTGGGCATTGGATCGCTAGTACATGATTTTGAAGGCGCACTGGTGATGAGTTTTCGTACCGAAGTCAACGGCAAAGTCTC